ACAAAATAAACTCTTCCTCGTTCATTCCGGTTGAGTTGTTTACAGATTTCAAAAAGAAATATTAATTTTTGACAAACAGAATACTCAACTGTGAGTAAAGTTTGGTATGGACGCGCGGTTTGCATTTCAGATCAGCTGTTGCCTTACAGAGTTGCCAAGTTCATATGAATTTAATTATACCAGTGCTACTAATCATATGTAAAAAATATATAAGTTCGAAAACAAATGAAAATACTACTTTTATACCCTTAACATGGTATTTTAAATATGCCACGAAATTTGAAATAATCAGAATGTAACGTCGAAGGTCCTATAAAATAAACGCATAAATGATCAAATTTGTTTGTCTCTCTATTTGTATATATGCGAACTAGTCCCTCAGTTTATAAAATATTAATCTGAAAATTTGCACAGGTCCATGTCTCCGCAAGAAGTTGCTTATATGGTGCAACCATTATAGATAGATGCCATAAAAGTTCGATCAAAATCCAGTCCTAGTATGGAAAACTTGTTTTTTGAAGATATATGTTTACGAAATTTTGCTAGAATATTGCTCAAATCACGGTGCAATCTCAGAAAAAATTGTTTATATCACAGCACTATAGTATATAGCTACTATACTGACCGATCAAAGTAAGGTTTTAGGTAATTTAAGACAACTTGAAGAGTATTTTATAAATAAAAATGCTGCATGTCAGCTTTGTTCGATATTAAATGTATATTTATGTAAACTTTCTATATTAATACAAAGAAGTCTACGGATTTCTGAAGCTGAACAATTAATATGTAAAGCGATTTTTTTCCCACAAATGCCAATTTTATATTTTTCTTGTTTTTTCCGCAAATAAGGGAACCTATTTCGTGTCCCTGGCCTCCTTAGCGTTTTGTAATGACTGTGTAATAAAAAGTTTGGCCAAAGATTGTGAACAAAATTGTGATATATGTTGTGAATAGGTATTAATTTGTCCCGAATTGATGGTTGCATTAAGTCTAGGTGGAACAGGAAGTGGGCGGAACTGCTTAAGAACTTCTTCTTCTGGAATTGGTGATTCGCCCTTGGCACTTCGCGCGACGTTCTCTGCTGCTTGTTTTGCTAGAGCACGGTGCTTCTCCTATTAAAAAAATAGATATTAAAATTTGTTTGTTTCATTGCTTGTTTCATTTAATTACCGTTTCTTGTTTGAATACCACTTGTTGATATTTGTTGTAACGTATTGACTCTTGGTATAGTTCATCGACACGTTCGATTAAGCAACGCATGTGATTTTCCAAAACTGAGGCTGTACCTAAGTCCAAAAAGTTTTGACCTTGCTCTTCTGGCAACATTTCACCCAACTCACTCATCATTATATTGGTAAGTGGAGAATTTTTGATAACGATTGGTATCTCAACAAACAGGCTCTCATAACCAACCTTCAAGTTGCGAAGTGCATCAGGTGTAAAATCTCCATCTTTATACATTTGAATGGCTTGTGGAGTTAATCTATAGGCCTTTAAGCACAAGAAACCACGTCCAGACTTTTGCGTATCGTAAATGACGACAACCGACTCCTCTATGCTAGTTTGATAATGGTATTGTGATTCGAGCAAAGCCATGGAAAGGAAATTTCCAACATCTGAGCTCTGATACCAGCCAACATGGAAATGATCGACATTTACACGTCGTAAACGGCGCATCATAGTTAACTGGTACATTTCTTCATCCATTGTTTCATCGCCGCTTTTCGGGAAGGGGAAACAGTTGGTAATTTCCAAACATTTGTCTACGACCAAACCCAGTAAGGCACCTTGTGCCAAATCCATATTGCTTGACTCCTCATGGCAATGCTTCACCATTTTCATCACGGCCTGGGAATAAAATAAAATGCATCAGAAAATGTAAAACTCGTATCAAAACAAAATCTCTATAAAAATTATGGCAACACTACAAATTCGCTGTCACCGCCCGCAAAAGCAAACGTGTAAAATTCTGACACTATTGCGGCTGTATGCCTCACTTTCACATCTTTTTCAGGAGAATCTTAAGTGATTTCATGCTTACAATATAGCTAATAGTTTCTTTTCCACATTTTCACTTACCAAGCCATCGCATTGTACGTAATTAATGGTATTATCCACTTCTTCTTGACGACCACGATTACCTCCACGGTTTGCCATTTTAATGCCAAATGCAAAAGAAAGAGAAAAGAGAATGCGTATTTGTCGCAAGCTTGGATGTGGTTTCATAATATATTATCCACAGTGCTGCCAAGTTTACTATTTATCACAAGATTGCCAGATAGTCTTCACACAAAAATTCAGTGGCGCTCAAACTGTAGTTGTTATGAACAACATAAATCTATTGTTTTTTGATTTCAACAAGCCGCGAAAGGAAATATTCTATATATCTAACACGCTGGCCCTTGAAAATTAGCCATAGGTTGTTGTTTTAAGGGTTATCTAATCTCCGTTGGGGTGGTAAGGGTCATTTGCATTGTCGTCGAGGTCATTTAACGGCAGGCACTGGAAACGTGCTGTTTCGACGGGTTCGGACCAAAGGGAGGGGAGTGTTAGATGAGTAAGGTTTGTAGGGCATGCAAAGAGGTGGCCAGTATAATGAGGGACTCGTTGCATGTCAGGGTCAATTCTGGATAAGTAGGAGTTTAACATGCTACAGTATCCAGAACGAAGTTGCGCTAGGGTCACTCCTGTTCTCGCGGCGGCTGGAGCTCTTCGTCTGCGATAGGTGGTGATTTGACTCCAAGAACGCCATTTACGAGAAGGGAGTCGGTGAAGGTGTTGATAGCTCCACTGTGAATGGCGGTACCTGTCGAAAGTCAGTTGCATCCGAAGTCCGGTCGGCGTACTGTACAACGTCGTCGAAGTAGTCAAGGAAGGACCTTTTGATGCTACTAGGAGGCGGTTCCGTTCCAAGCAGATGACTGCAAGGGTGATTCTTGCGGAACTGTGGAGGTGTTCTATGGGAGACATCAAAAGGCATCCCGTCGTGGTCCAGAGTGCACTATTCTGGCAGTTCTGAAGTTTCCTCATCTGGGTTCCATTGCATTCAGGCGACCATATTGGTACTGCGTAGTTAAGGACCGGCCGGCCGATTGCTTTGTAAGTTGCCAACACTTGACTTGAGCGACTTGAGGAACTTGTTGCGGCTCTCTCTTTAAATCTGAGATGGAATACCTTAAAAGCACTAATCATACAAATTTTAACCGATATATTATTTATCAATTGTCAAATGTCAAAATAATCTTGTCTACCAAATTTGGTTAAGATTTGTTCAGAAATAGGTGATTTCACCAAAAAATGACGATATCACGCCCATCGTCCAATTTTGTCTCTTGCTCTTAGAAAGCACATCGGGCCATCCTGGATGTAAAATTTAAAGTCTCTCACACATTGAGTTATTGATTTATCGCACTTTTAGTAGTTTTGAAGAAAACCGTTATATGGGGTGTGAGTGTGGTTATCATAGACTCCACCTATTTCACGCGCTTTCGTAAGAAATGTCAAAATGATATGCCCTGTGCAAATTTGGGTAGTATAACTTGAAGAGAGAGCAAAAAAGGCGTCGATTGCCTTGTACTGCTGTGAAAGAGCCATTGGCAAAAGATGAGGTCTCTCACAGAAAGTGGTCCTCTGCCTCTATGACACCATAGTCAATACAATTTTGTTTTATGGAGCTTGAGGGGCTTTAGAAAAGAACACATTTCCAAAAAAACTCGAGAGCGTTCAACGGGCGGTGCTATCAATAGCTTCCAGTACCTTTGTGATAGGATTGGTATGGTTTCCAGGCCACAGCGGATTCACAGGAAATTGTAAAGGCGATGAGCTAGCAAGAAAAGTCACCTTAAAACCACTATCAGTAGAATGTTAGCGGGTCGGTACTCCCGTACTCTATGTTGTGCTCAATTAGATAGCTGGTCTTCCCGGTTGCTTGGCCAGCGCTGGGCCACCATCGATACATGCGCTGTCACAAAAGCCTTTTGGCACAGGATCGATGAAAAGAGATCTAGTAATATATTTGCCCACAGTATAGCTAGCCTTTCCCTAGTTGTTGGCGTCCACACAGTAAGGCTGGGAATCCTGCCATCTGCAGAAGTTGTATGGAAGAAGGTGAGGTGGAAACAACTCAACACTTCCTTCTTGACTGTGAATTTGGGAGATCAAGACTTAAAACCTTGGGAGCGCATACATTCAGACTTCTCACCGAACTGGTGGGAATGGAAATTAAGCGCTTATGCAAAGCCTCTTGGCAAATTACAAGTTCGAACACAGGATTTCTTCTTGGCTTTACAAAAGATTACATAAAGAAGTCCACCTACGATCTTTGATCAGTCATCTAACCTATTCTAGCTTGAATGGCTTGAAGATACTTGGGGATATACATTAAATCTCTTCGAGGGTGATGACACGCCCATTTTATTTTTTAATTTTCAATCTACGGATGGCCCTCAGTATTGCGATACTATGACATATGCGTATATATGAATATACTAGATTACAGCTCTTTGTGGTAAAAATACTATTTTTGTGATAATTTCGATATGGTGTGCTTGGAAATTCAAGGACAAAGATGGTTCAATTATTTTAATATTAGAGCGTGGTATCTCGATATATTATCTCTTTTTCGGCGGAGCCACCGATACAACTATAGCATATAGTTGTCATAAAAGCTGACCGATCGAAATCAATTTCTTGTATGGAAAATTATTTATTTGTGGAACTGAAATTGACGGATTTTTCCTTATTTTTTTACTTAATATTCAAAAGGCACTTGGGGTGTAAGTATTCTAGTCTAGGTTTAAAGTGTTCACTCGGGTAATGTTTGACCCACTTCACCTTGAGCAGTATGTGATACATATTCTCATAGATATATGATTCTTATATTAGAATAGGCTGAGATTAGATTATTGTAAGTAATTAAAACAGCCAGTAATTAGATATATAAAAAAGAATTGCGCAACCAGGCTACTTGTAATTTACCACAATCGAGATTCATTTCAATATTGCTAAGAATTACCTTATCACAGCATGCTGATACTGCTGTTGGATTTAAATAGCCTCAGTTTGAGACCAAAGCAATAGTATCATTCTGTTACTACGCGCAGATCCGCAAGCATGAAGACCACCGCCATTATTTCTCTTGTTGTTTGCAGCTTCTTGCTGTTCGGCGTCACATCAGCTCATCCCTTGGCTGATTCGGAAGTTGCATCCGTTGAAGCCATTCTGATTGATCCAGTTCCAGCACAGCGCCCTAGTAAAGACATTATAATTGATGCATCCATTCAGGGACAGGCTCATGTGGTGGTTCCTGGTTCAGTTGCCGAGGAGCTCGTTAAAATTATGGCTGAGGCTTTTCAAACCCAAAAGTCTGGAAAAGTCAATGGGCCGCAAAGCCGCAGCAAGCGCATTACCTGTGACTTATTGGATGCCTCTGGTTGGTCCAAAACTTTGTGTGCTGTCCATTGTATCGGCTTGGGACACCGCGGTGGCTACTGCAATGGAAAATCTATCTGCCAATGTCGTGATTAAGAGTTGGCATTCGAAAGATAACATTTAAAATAAGGAGAGAAGTTGAATTATTTTCATTTAATGCCGTTAAAATCTTTAGCATTTCTGTGTGTATAAATACAAATCTATACATATTTTTAGTTCCGGCGAACGATAGCAAATGAGTGCTTTATTTATTTATATGTTTATATTCTCAAGTGGGTGGACTTATTTATTTCTAATTTTAAGGCACCTACATAAATTCATGATAACATATGATAACAACAACATATGTACATATGTGAATACCATATATCATGATATTCATTCAGACTTTAAATAGCCACAACCAGTTGAGCAATATATCAGTTTGGTCTGACAGCGACTTGTAAAAACATGAAAACTATTGTTATTATTTCGGCAGTGCTTTGCAGCTTCTTGCTGTGTCACAGCACAACGGCTTTGCAACCAGAAGGTCTCAAAGAAAATAATGGTGACATTACAATCGATGGCTCTATTGAATCCAGTGCCCACATCGAAGTTCCAGAGAAGGTAGCGAAGGATTTATTAAAAGCTATGGTCGAAGCTTTTCAACATATGCAAGTTTCTGGCGAAGTAACAGCTGAGGTCCAGCTTAATACTGGTGCAGAAGAACCAGCAAACGTGAGGAGTGAGCCACAAAATCGCACGACTTGTGACTCAGGGGCCTGTAGTATGTATTGTCTTGCGATTGGACGCCACGGTGGATATTGCAGCGTTTGGTCGGCCTGTATGTGTGTATAACGCACATAGAATTTGAAAAAGAAAATAAAATTGATTTTTAGAAACAAAGCAAATTGTAATGAATTTGAAATTATTTTTTTATTCTCGCAATACATAGTTTTGTTTACTAAGCAGTTATTTGAATAACCAAAAACTAATCGAAATGGACTTAGTTCTGTTACAAGTTTTGGCCGTTCTAAAACTGAGACGTTAACACACTTCTAAATAATAAAATTTATTTCATTTAATAAAGATCCGCTATCATATAACACAATTACATGTAGACAAAATCATTTTGACATTATTTCCCCGAGGGTTCGCGCTTATAAATGCAGTAGCCGACTCCGACTTATCTTCCGATCATGATGAAATTATTCTAACAACGTAATATTGTTGAGAAACCAGTTTACTAAATAATTCCCAGAACATATTGGCTTAAGTGCAAGAAATATCTTAGCACCTTCATGCAAGAAGAAACTGAAGTTGCCTGTGAAATGGATATAAAGGCCAGTATTAACTTATTCAACTGTTTGCTCTCAACAGCGCTTACTTCTTCTTCTAAATTGGCGCAGACACCGCTTACGCGGTTATAGCCGAGTTAACAACAGCGAACATCAAATCCAAGAGATAGTTCCGAAGTACAATATGAACCACTAACAGCATAATTAAACGCATTGTAACCCAAGAACGAAGACTGCGCCGAGAATGGCAGAGTAATGGATCCCTATCATCTACTATAAATTGAAATTAAAACCTGCTGAGAGAATTTAAGGAAAACTTTAAAAGATAAATAAGAAGCGCACTTAAAAAGGTTTATTTCTATTTTGGCGCTGAACTCTTCTCAATGAAATTCACTATGGAAGACCAAGAAAAACGTTAAGCTACCGGTAGAAACTGAGAGACCGCTCAGGCAAAAACTCAATGCTTGGGCCTGTTCTGAAGAAGAGAAGGCAAATTGTTTTGCAGCTCATCTTTGCGAAGTATTTCAACCACACACCACATTAAACAATTTCTCTATTCCATCTCTGCTCTACAATGTACTGAGGACTATTCCCGAAGTGTATATAACTTCATCTGAGACAAATAAGACGTTTCTTCCCATTCCACTGTACAGATTTCGGGGAATATGGCGACATCATTGATTTTAAGTAATTGTTGGAGCGCAAAGAGAGATTTTTATTGAGTAAAACAGGTCATTGTGTAGAGTGTAAATCTCGATAATTTGCTTTTTATTAAAATCTTCCACATATTTGTGCTTAGAGGTCTTATGTTTCTAAAAGTATTACCATGCTTTTAATCCTTCCAAAATGCATAAGTATGTAATTTTCGTGTATACCCGAACTTAGATCTTCCTCACTTGTTTTTCGTATATTTTCAGTAAGGTGCCTGAGAGTAAGGATCACGTGATTTGTATGCGTGAAAAATGTGCGCAGAACCTTAAACACAACCGGAAAAAGATATCCAGGGCAACAAAACAAGTTTTGTAAAGCTATGTAATGTATTAAATCGACGATGTACAAAATTTTATTGGAAATGGTAAATTAAGACACAAAGCGGAAATTTAGTACCTATAGTATTTAGGCAGGCTATAATATATACAAAAACTAATAAGTTTAAGATATTTATCTTAGAAATCACTTAAGTTATATCAGCCAAATTTTCCTACTTTCCATATAAGAATATTTTCCCCAGTCTCCTTATAGAAGGATTTTCGAACTTCCGATTCAGTTTATACGACATACATATATTAGGTTGTCAAAAAAGTCTTGCGGTATTTTCGCTACTTGGCGCTGAGAGCGCGCAGTTCTACTTTTATTCGTCGCATCGGATCATGCTATACCTTTTTGGAAAGCTCATAATATAAGTTATCCCAATGAGCCTCTTTCTAATTACAGTGTATCCCTACCCAAAATTGAATAAAATGGAGTCAATATATCCTCAGCTCACATATATCTAATAAAAACTTTCGGCTGGTATTATAATTTCGGTTGGTATTATACTATAAACATACAGTAAAAGTCTACAAATCAAGCATCAAGGAAGACATGAATGTTTTTAGAGAAAAAGGATAACGCATTGCTGAAGTGTATGGTATTATAGTTTCAGTTTAACAGAATTCTTTTCAACATATGCAAGTTTCATTTATGATTCAAAAGGTACTCGTATTGTAAGTATTTTTGTCTATGTTTAAAGTGTTCATTCGGGTGATATTTGCTCACTTCACCTTGAGGTGTATGTGATACGTATTCTCATAGCTATATTATACTAATATTAGAATATGCTGAGCATCTGGCATCAAGTGATTTAATTATTGTAAACAATTAAAAGTATCCATTATTTAGATATACAAGTATATATAGAAAAAATTTGTTTAACCAGAGTGGAGTCTTCACAAGGCTATTTGAAATTTATCACAATTGAGATGATTTCAATATTTGTTGTCAAGTACTTTAAGACTTTGTTTTGATCTTGCTGTTGGGTTTGAATAGTCACTGTGACCAAAGCAACAGTATCATTGCTACTGGTAACAGATACGCAAAAGCTTATCGTAATTATTTCTCTTGTTGTTTAACACTTCTTGCTGTTCGACTGCATTCGGAAATGTTATCCGATAATGCCAGATCCAGCTCAGCGCCTTACTAAATACCATTGATGCTTACATTTATGAAAAGGCTCATATTGTCACTTAAAATGCAAAATAACGTAACACCATTTTTCATAAGTTTAGAAGCGAAGGAAAAACGATATATTAGAAACCACTAATATTGAAAAAAAAAAATTGAATTTTGGTTATAAAGTGGTTATATATTGGTTATTATGTCTGACAACGAGTTCAAATAATTTTTTTTTTTGATTAGTGGCTACGGAAAATCTATCTTCCAATATCGTTATATCAAAAGAATACAATGAACGTGAGGAGAGGACTGGTGTGACGATGCCACAATGTCGTTATAATATGTAGCACTTCTGTAAATACAAAAATAGTAAGAGTTTGTCAATCAAATCTACATATGTACATATGTATATCTACATATATACATAAAAGAAAGTTGTGTTAGTTACACCATTTATAACTCAAGAACGGCTAAACCGATTTGGCTGAAAATTGGTGAGGAGGTAGCTTAGAACCAGGGTAAGGACATAGGATAGGATTTTATCTCTTTATGTCAAAATTTAATACAACTTATTTAGGCCTAGATTTGATTTAAGCTTCAGTTCTAAAATTGTCATTTAATAAAACAAGACGTGTTACAACGAATTGGTTCCATCACTTGATTTGTCCACATATCTTCAAACTCATGTAACCCACGGTGATATCTTCAAACTCATGTAAACCCACGGTGATCCGAAGCAGTTGTAAAGAACCATGCATTAATATCTGAAGTATACAATATCGGTAGAATACATATTTACGCATATATACCGCAATCCGCACACACATATTGGTGCAAAGTTTTATCCTGATATATTTGTTAATTCTTGATTTGCCTACTGGAAAGTGATAGTTTGAAATAGAGTTTTAAATTGCCTTCTACGGGAAGTAGGCGTGGCTGTGGTCCGATTTCATTCATTTTCACACTGTAACATAGGAATGTTCATAAAATGTAATATTTATACCAGACATGAGTTTTTACTTAAAAATGGGCGGTGCCACGGCCATATTCCAATTTGGCGACGGCTCCTCTAAAGTCCTCTCATACAATAGCGGTAATAAAATTTAAATTAACTACATGCAATTTAAATGCGAGCTCTTTTTTTATATTATTGTCAACGAACGGTACAACAACAACAATTCATACGGATAAACCGAATGAACGAGGAAAACCAAAATTTGTTGATTTCACGTCTACCGTAAACTGCTGCGGTCCCGTGGCTATCCATGTGACATATTGTGGTTGGTTTAAGATTTGATTGGTTTATGAATAAAGCATAGTTCCAAAGTAGCACTTAGGAGGTGAATACAGAAGATCAGATGCAAAATTGATCAATACAAAAATTGTTTGAAATCAGGTAATTGTACAAAATGTATATGTATATGATGTTTTCAAATGTAAAATTAAGTAAAACGCCATATTTTGATTACCAAAAGATTTTGGTAGTTTCGCAACAAATTCGGTGAGTATTTTGGTACCAAAATGTTTTCTCAAATGACAACATCGTTCTTATAGGACGAACCATTAATTGTATTCAAGCGGGTATTAAATTAGATTAGTCCTTTTAAGAAGTGATTCGTTTTCACCGTTGCCACATTTTACACATTTCATTTGCATGTTTTGATTGGTAACATACATATCATCACTTAAAATATAAAAAAAAAATTATTCATTACATCGTATTATACTTGTGTATATGCATGTACCATAAACTTTTAAGCTTCCGCTTTCCAATAATTCCAATTTATAACCAAAGCACACATTTTGTTTCAATATGAGCAGTTTCTGTTATTTCGTTTTTTCTTCACTACTAAACTTATGAAAATGACCTGCTCATACATATGTAATTATATAGTTAAAATAGCTCAATCCCCCCAAAGTGGTCTTAAGTAAAGAAAAGGTTATAATATATTATGACATTGTGTTCCTCAATCAGATTAGAATAAATATCACCTAGACGCCCTATATCACCGTCTGTAAAAACATTTTCTTTTACATATAAGTATGTATATTCTTTACAGGTACTTCCCCCATACCTATGCAACTTTCAACACAGATGCATGTATGTAGAAACAACCATCTAGTGAACTCGCAAAAAAAAACAAAAAAAAAAAAAAAAAAAAAAAAAAAAAAAAAAAAAAA